CCATATCGGTGGCGCAACCTACCCGAAAATGGGATCCCAAAACGGTCTTGACAACCACAGCCATATCGGTGGCGCACCTACCCCAAAATGGGATCCCAAAACAGTTTTGACAACCACAGCCATATCGGTGGCGCAACCTACCCCAAAATGGGATCCCAAAACAGTTTTGACAACCACAGCCATATCGGTGGCGCAACCTACCCGAAAATGGGATCCCAAAACGGTCTTGACAACCACAGCCATATCGGTGGCGCACCTACCCCAAAATGGGATCCCAAAACAGTTTTGACAACCACAGCCATATCGGTGGCGCAACCTACCCCAAAATGGGATCCCAAAACAGTTTTGACAACCACAGCCATATCGGTGGCGCAACCTACCCGAAAATGGGATCACAAAACGGTTTGGACAACCACAGCATTATCGGTGGCGCACCTACCCCAAAATGGGATCCCAAAACAGTCTGGACAACCACAGCCGTATCGGTGGCGCAACTACTTCAAAACATGGGATCCCAAAACAGTTTTGACAACCACCGCCATATCGTTGGCGCACCTACCCCAAAATGGGATCCCACAACCACAGCCATATCAGTGGCGCAACCTACTCCAACATGGGATCCCGAAACGGTTTTGACAACCACAACCATATCGGTGGCGCACCTAGTTCAACATGGGGTCCCAAAACGGTCTTGACAACCACAGCCATATCGGTGGCGCACCTACCCCAAAATGGGATCCCAAAACAGTTTTGACAACCACAGTCATATCGGTGGCGCACCTACCCCAAAATGGGATCCCAAAACGGTTTGGACAACCACAGCCATATCGGTGGCGCACCTACCCCAAAACATGGGATCCCAAAACGGTTTGGACAACCACAGCCATATCGGTGGCGCACCTACCCCAAAATGGGAGCCCAAGACGGTTTTGACAACCACAGCCACACCGGTGGCGCACCTACCCCAAAATAGGATCCCAAAACGGTGTTGACAACCACCGCCATATCGGTGGCGCACCTACCCCAAAATGGGATCTCAAAACGGTCTTGACAACCACAGCCATATCGGTGGCGCACCTACCCCAAAATGGGATCCCAAAACGGTCTTGACAACCACAGCCATATCGGTGGCGCACCTACCCCAAAATGGGATCCCAAAACGGTGTTGACAACCACAGCCATATCAGCGACGCACCTACCCCAAAATGGGATCTCAAAACGGTTTGGGCAGCCACAGCCATATCGGTGGCGCACCTACCCCAACATGGGATCCCAAAACGGTTTTGACAACCACAGCCATATCGGTGGCGCACCCTACCCCAAAATGGGATCCCAAAACGGTTTTGACAACCACAGCCATATCGGTGGCGCACCTACCCCAAAATGGGATCCCAAAACGGTTTGGACAACCACAGCCATAGCGGTGGCGCACCTACCCCAACATGGGATCCCAAAACGGTTTTGACAACCACAGCCATATCGGTGGCGCACCTACCCCAAAATGGGATCCCAAGACGGTTTGGACAACCACAGCCATATCGGTGGCGCACCTACCCCAAAATGGGATCCCAAAACGGTTTGGACATCGGTGGCGCACCTGCCCGGTTTTGTCAACCACAGCCATATCGGTGGCGCACCTACCCCAAAATGAGATCCCAAAACGGCTTTGACAACTACAGCCATCTCGGTGGCGCAACTACTTCAAAGCATGGGATCCCAAAACAGTTTTGACAACCACCGCCATATCGGTGGCGCACCTACCCCAAAACATGGGATCGCAAAACAGTTTTGAGAACCACAGCCATATCGGTGGCGCACCTACCCCAACATGGGATCCCAAAACGGTTTTGACAACCACAGCCATATCGGTGGCGCACCTACCCCAAAATGGGATCCCAAAACGGTCTTGACAACCACAGTGATATCGGTGGCGCACCTACCCCAAATGGGATCCCAAAACAGTTTTGACAACCACAGCCATATCGGTGGCGCACCTACCCCAAAATGGGATCCCAAAACGGTCTTGACAGCGCACCTACCCCAAAATGGGATCCCAAAACAGTTTTGACAACCACAGCCATATCGGTGGCGCACCTACCCCAAAATGGGATCCGAAAACGGTCTTGACAACCACAGCCATATCAATGTGCCGTGAGAGAAAACAACTCCACCGCTGGCATCGGCAGCGACTGCCCGCCTCTACCCTGTGGACATTCCGCGCAGCTCGGGGCGCTGTGTGCACCACAGCTCACCTCAGTGGGGTTACGAGTCTTCATTAAATGTGGGGGTTGATCCATTTTCCCCAAACTTAACCCAAAACATATGTCTAGAAGTGAAATCGATTCCCCTTTTTATTCTACCAGGGGAAAATAACAAACATATTCATTTGGGTGTGGCTCAAAACTAAGAAGCTAGGGTTGCGCGGGTTTTAGTCCTTGGTTCCATTTACCAAGGTTCCATTTACCAAAATCCTGTACCCCTGGTGAACTTCAAAATAGGTGGTACATGGGTGTTCATCCGCAACATGGAGGCATAGGTTATGACCCATGGCCAAGTGCGGGGGTTGATCCATTTTCTGTTGGGCCCCAACATGACCGGGAGCAACTTTTCCCATTTAGTGGTGCAAGTGAAATATCTTTTCTGACGGCATCCCTGATGGTCATCCCCTGTATCACGGACCTTTTGGTCGATCCCCATGTCCCGTGGCTAGGCTTGCCGCGGTCTTCGGTCGAGGCAAGGTCTTGATTGCGACACAGGCATTCTCATGCCTAAGGCCGCAGAGTAGATCAGCACGCATCTGGCTATGGGTCAAAACCCCCGGTTACCCCCCAGTGAACATAACAATTTCCCCACTAAAATAGGTTCTAAAATGGGTGGTGGACATAGGCGGCCTTTTGGAGAAATAGATGGCGTAAATGGAATAAAACCCATCTAAACCAGTGCCATCTATTTTTAGCCAAACTAACCTAAAGAGGACACCCATGGTGGTGAATTCACCTATGTCAAAAATTGGGATCCCAAAACGGTTTTGATCTGATGCAGCTGGCGCTTGCCAAGATTCCACACACAGTCACCGTTGCACCATTGCGCTCCATGATCTTGCGGACACGCAGAGCAGCTTGGGGCTCGATGCTGTCCGCAGCTCACCGACACCTTACACACGTGGCGGATTCACGGCCGACAGCGAGAGCCGCAAGCAGAAACTTGGACACTGACGTCCTCTTGCGGCTTCCTGAGATCTTCTTGCCCGGCTCCCTTGGCCACGCAGAAGTCATTGCGCCTCATGTTGCAACTTGCAGCTGACGTGCAACACATCGTGCCTCTCAACGGTAGTATGCCAGTAAGTACCATACATATTGTATAGGCCGCAACCCTTGACCTAAACTTGCAATCTCAAGAGTCATAATCAAAACCTGGTATCAAAAAGGTCTACCACCGTGCAAAGAAGTAATAAAGACGGCGGAGGCGTCCATGTATGGCAAGGGGATTATCCCTTCCCTTCATCTTTCGGCATGGGGGCGGTGTGTTCTGTGTTGTTTTTGTTGATAAGCTTTCTATAAGTTTAATGTGAATATGATTATGTATATATATATAACCTATATGTCCCTTGGGGCGGCCCTTGGGGCTGGTTTCTATGTTGGCTGGATTTCTGGATTTCTGGATTTCTGGATTTCTGGATTTCTGGATCTCTGGATTTCTGGATTTCTGGAATTTTGGATTTCCCCCCCCCTCTCCCCCACCCCCCTCTCACTCCCCCCCCTCCCCCCCTCCCCCCCCCCCCCCCCTCCCCCACCCCCTCTCCCCCCCCCTGCACCCCCCCCCCTCCCCCCCCCCCTCACCCCCCTCTCCCCCCCCCCCCTTCCTCCCCCCCCTCTCCCCCCCCCCCCCCCCCCCCTCACTCCCCCCCCCCCCCTTCCTCCCCCCCCCCTCATCCCCTTCCCCCCCCCCCAATCGTAGTAGTCTTCCGTAGTGTTCCGGCTTCTTCCCGTAGTCTTCCGTAGTCTTCCGGCTTCTTCCAGTAATCTTCCGTAATCTTTCGGCTTCTTCCAGTAGTCTTCCGTGTTCTTCCGCCTTCTTCCCGTAATCTTCCGTAATCTTTCGGCTTCTTCCAGTAGTCTTCCGTAGTCTTCCGGCTTCTTCCCGTAATCTTCCGTAGTCTTCCGTAGTCTTCCGGCTTCTTCCCGTAGTCTTCCGAAATCTTTCAAGCTTCTTCCCGTAAATTTCTGCAATCTTTCGGCTTCTTCCCGTAGTCTTCCGTAATCTTCCGGCTCCTTCTCCTAGTCTTCCGATACTGTTTCGGGACCAAACAACGCGCGTGTCCTGGGCTTTCGGGCTTCTTCCCTAGGCTTCGGGTAGTCTTCCCCCACCCCTACGCCTTTCGCCTGCGTCTGTCCATGTCTGTCTACGTATCTGCATCTGTCTTCGTGTCCGCGAAGACCCCCCTGCCCCTGCGTGTCTGTCTGCGTCTCTTTGTGTCTGTCTGGGTCTGTCTGCGTCTGCTTCGTGTCCGCGAAGACCCCTTGCGTGTCTGTCTCTGTCTCTTTGTGTCTGTCTGTGTCTGTCTGTGTCTGTCTACGTATCTGCGTCTTTCTTCGTGTCCCCCCCCGCCCGCGTGTCTTTGTGTCTGTCTGGCTCTGTCTGCGTCTGCCTGCGCATCTGCGTCTGTCTTCGTGTCCGCGAAGACCCTCCCCCCCCGCTGCGTGTCTATCTGCGTGTCTTTGTGTCTGTCTGTGTCTGTCTACATATCGCGTGCTTTCTCTCGTCCCGGGCCGAAATTCTAAGGTGTGTGGGGGCGGCGGAACCAGGCCGCAGGCCATTAAATATACAAAGAGAGAGCCACCGCCGGGGGCTCATCTGGGTGTTGTCAAAAAATGGTAGCCCCAGTCCGGCTTGCCCTGGCAAATGGAAACAAACACGATTTTACTCCTGCGGTCCAATTCCTGGTAACTGATGTTGATGTTATTTTTGCAGTTGAAGCCAAAGGCAAACAACTACATTTCTTGGTGGTCCCTTAAAGAAAGGACACCATACAGGATGGGTTTTTCTCGGGTTCATTCCAACTCATTCCCTGCCGACTTCGCGCCAGCAAGTTTAAGTCATCGGCCCATCTCTGGTGGTGACTAATGTTGTTCTTTTTTTTTTTTGCAGTTGAAACCGAAGGCAACCAACCAGTTCAGGTGGTCCCGTAAAGAAAGACATACCTGCATGGTCCGGAAAAAGCCCCCAAACAGCCAATCCAGTTGGACTCCTCGTTCTGCTCAGGAGCTTTGCGGCAGTCTGGGAGTGCCACTGGGCTGAGAAAGCCCAATTTGTTAATACTGTGGATGGACACAATCCTGCACCACCTACGAAACCATGGCATGATTCGATTCCCCTTTTAATACCAACTAACAAGAGTTGCCCATGGTTTGAAAGTGGTTCAGGATTTGGTCCATCCATGGACACAGCATATATTAGCTGAAGCATGCTTGAAAGTGGTATCCATAGCTCTCAACCATGGACATTGCTCAAACATTTCGTACCATTTCACAACCATCCACAGTATCAACCCATTTCACAAACATGACCCCCCACCTCCACCACCACTGCCACCACCCCCCCCCCCACCCCCCCCCCCCACCCCCCCCACCCCCCCCACCTCTGAGGCCCATCTCTGCCAACCCACCGAGGCGCCATTCGCATTCGCCGTGACACCACTGCTCCCCGCGGCCTTGAGGGCACTCGGCGCAGGTCTCAGCTTCGTGAGCTCCGCAGCTCACGCGGGTGGCCTTCAAGCGCAAGCGCAAGAGAGATGTGTGCATATTCATGTGTACACACATATCATATATATATATATGTGTTTTGTATATAGGGACATAAAGGGACATATATGTATATGTATATATTCATGGTCACCCCCTGCCAAACCACATCTACATATATATATATACACATTCAAACCCACGCCTGCAGCTTGTGTAAGGGGAAGTCAGGTCATGTTAGACAGACGCTACCAGTGCGCAAATGATTCAGACTTTGCCCACCCACAGGAAATTTGAGCCAATCAGGAAGCGCGATGACACTGCAACGAACCAATATCTTTAATATCCTCTATAAGCGTCACCCTGACCAGGATCGGCAAGCAAGAACCCCCAGCCACCCTGAGCACACCTTGACCAGCACCTTGACCAGCACCTTGACCAGCACCTCGACCCGCAACAGCACGACCAGCAACATGGCACCGCTGAGCGGACCAAACACCTTGCAAACAGCTCTCTGACCAAAGCGACAGCATGGCAAAACAAGCACCGCCCACCCTGACCACCTGCAGCACCCACCTGGCCCGATTTCGCACAACAAAACCCCACATCTTAGAAGTAAGAGCCCCAATAGCTAAAGTGCACGCAGCTTGGGGTGCTGGTGCACGTGCTGTTTTGGGGTGCTGGTGACGGTGCGGGCGCACTTCTGCTAGATTGACCGCAGGGTGCTGGGGGGGGGGGGGGGAAGTTTGGGGGTTCTGTTCGGGGTGCAGTTGGAGGTGCTAGTGACGGTGCGGGCGCATTTGCCGGCAGGGTGGGGCATGCAGGTTGGGGTGCTGGCGCAGGTGCTGTTTTGCGGTGCTGTTTGAGATGCTGGTGTTTTTCCGAGATTGACGGCCGGGTGGGTGTTGTTTGGGGTCTCTTCCGGGTGCTGCAGGGTGCTTTCTTTTGTTTTTTCCGGCGGTGCTGGTGATGGCGCGGGTGCATTTTGCGAGAGCTCTGTTCGGGGTGCTGTGCGGGGTGTTGTTGGAGGTGCGGCAGGATGCTGGGGGCATGCTGCTGTTTGGGTGGCTTTTTGAGGTGACTTCGCGGGCAACCGTCAATCTCGCAAACAATTTCCCTCTTTATTTGAAGTTAGAGCCGTATAGCTTTCAGCCATCTGGGATGTTGTTGCTTCTACTTTCTTGCAGGTTGTCTGTGTCATTCCTCCTCTTGATCCTTGTTCAATCATTTCATGAACATAATATCAGAAGCAACGTGAGGTAAAGTGTCAACACACAAGTTGGGTAACATGTAGTACTACACAGGGTCTAAACTATAATCGGTCATACATTGGTCATACAAACATACATCTCTCAAGTTGTCAAAAGCATCAATTCAGATATATGCTCGGTTAAACAACAATATTTCAACAGAAGCGTGATGCTCTCTTTATGGTTCAAACATCTTGCATGTTAATTGTATTGATCCCTCATGTTGTCCTCACTCAATTGACTGTACAACATCTCTGTAAGGGTACCGGCGCACGCATCTTCGATTTCTCATCTCAACTCATATGCAAATCCTCTTCGTGTGTCAACTTGCATACCCATGCTGATACCAAAACATCTGCTATGAATCTTCCATCTCTCAACTCATCTCCAAATTCCCCCTTCGTCTGTCAGCTCACAAACCTTGGCCACAACTTATATGCATTGAAAACAACTAATTTCCTGAACGCATCTGTTCTGCACAAAGCCTGCTAAGAAGCAGGCGAAACACTGGTATTTACGGTGTCGGGGAGACGTGGAATTCTTTATATCAGTTTTTTTGGCGCACAAGTTGAAACAGGAGAAATAGGTGCAAACCCAAACAAAAACTTCTGAAAGCAAACAAAATAAAGCGCTTTGAAGCTAAGATCGCTAGGATCCAAGAATAGCAACTCCCAGGACTCTAGATCTTGAATCTTGAATCCAGTATGGGGCACTCAAAACGCTTTAAAGCGCTTTAAAGCATTTTTGGATGAAATCCAAGATCCAAGATTCCCAGCACTCCAGATCCCAAAGCGTTTTGAGCGCTTTAAAGCCTTTCTGGGCGGATACAGTCACAGTCAAATGTGCAGATGCGGGCAATAATAACATGCGGGGTGCCTGAAAAGGGGGCGGAAATCACCCAAAAGTACTGTATATATCATGAAATTATCTTGGCGTAGGTTTTGGCAGGGGCGGAGTACCAAGTATGTATATATATATATATAAATGTATAATGTGTGTGTGCGTGAATGTTGCTGAAAGGTTTGGACTCCTTTTGAACAAACACCTGCACTAAATCCAGCAGCCTCCTACGTCAGAATCAGTATGCAAATCTTTTCCGGCAACGCATATTGGAAAGGCTTTGCTAGGTGGCTTGACAACAAAAAAAACAATGCAGCGTGGAAGACGAGACAGATCGTGCAACGCCGAGCTTTGGACAAGACCGGGATCTGTCCTTCGCAAACTGCATTGCTGGAACGCTTCCACTCTTCAGCAGTGTCAAGCGAACAGCTTCCTGCACGGCCTGGGCAGCATGCTTTTGCTTGCAAGCGAGGCATATTCAATCCTGGTATGAAGTGATCTACCCAGAACCAGGTCAAGAATTTCAAAAAGGCGGCTGCACTCTATTTAAAAGGTTGGGATTCTCCCTGACTCACCTGCATCCACCCTGGCTAGGTCCTCCAGCAGAGAGGTTAGAATGAGGGTACCACCTTTTCTGTAGTCTATTTTAGTAGGGAAACCCTCCCAACCAAAAAAGCTGCTCAAAGGGCACCTAGCTGGGGGACCTAGCTGGTGTTTGCTTGTGGCTCCAGCGTACATGACCTGAGCATCCTGCACCATCGGCGACCACAGGCGGCGCTGATCCACCAACAAGCCGACAGTGCGGGCCTAGCCAAGCCAGCACGAGTCTATACATCATGGCCATGGCTCAAAATCCCGTACCCCCGGTGAACATCCCAATCCCACTAAAATAGACCAAAATGGGTGGTGCACCCCCAACATGGTACCACTGGTTTTGACACAGCAACATGAATTGTGGCTCACAAAAATCAGTACCCAAGATGCGCCTTGGTAAATGAAACCAATGACTAAAACCTGCGTAATGTTGACCCCGGATTAACAGACCCCTGTTGATTAATATGGGAGCATCCCCCTCAAAAAGTGATAAATCCCCTATCTACACAGTGGTGTTTTTCATCTGGAGTCGACATTAACCCCAGCTCTTAAACACTTTTTTAAGGCACACCCTGATCGCATCACTTGCCACAAGCACAAGGCTGTGCCTTGCGTGGAGGAGCACAGGGAATCATCTTGCACTTGGGGCGAATATTGCCTTAGGACAATGCCGCCGATCGATGACTTCATCGTGGTGCGATCCGTCACATCCTTTGAACTGCTGATTGAGTTGTCTGTACCAGCACCAAAGAAACACCCGACTTGCCATTGTGTCTTGCCATGAAAAAGGTAGCTGTTGACAAACATATTGCACAAAAATCAATGCTGCGATGCTTCCCGCTGCCTTTTCTCTAAAGTGGCCAGGCAACGTCAGAGATTCAGTAGCTCAATAAATGTTCAAACAGTACGTTTGCTTTTGTTTGCTCAAGCCTTTAATCGGCACTCGTGTTTCATCAGAACGCTTTGACTGCAGGTGCAAGAAATATCCATACAATACAACAATGCGATTGTGTACACTATGTTAATGCGTTGCATACGATCCCCTTTTCGCAACAATTCTACACTGATTTGCCTTTGCACACGAGGGATTGTCCGTACAGTCTCAAACAATGTTGAGATCCGGCACAGCTGTGGCAGGACATCTGTTGATGGCTGAGAACAATGTTGAGAATGTTGAGCTTGAGAGCAATGTTTGAGAACCAACAATTTCATTCCACTTGGTTCGCAAATGAATGGCGCTAGTCACAAAAGGCCAGGATACTTCAGGCTCTTCACATCGGGTGCAGGCAGGCCAGCATCCTGCGCAGAGAACGGATTCAGCGGGGCAAACCATGTCGGGGTTTACAAGAGACTGTGCTTCGCCTCCCAAGCAGACTTCATAAGACTTTGCCTTGGATTAAGCACACGATCTCTGCATGTTCACGTAGAAAAAGACAACAAACGGGAAGATGCTGAGCTGAAGACCGAATGCTAAGCACCAGCCACTCAAGGCTTTGGTACACCGGAAGAGACAAGGCGCCAGCAACTCCTCATGCAAGGATTGCGCCCAAGGGTGAAATCAAGCATGACTCGAGG